ACGTATCACCCCGTATCAGTTTTCTGAGAATCACTTATCCATGCCCTCTGCACACAAGATCGAGGCTACAATTCACACAATTGTCTGTGTACCATCAGGGAAGAAGCCGAATGGTTTACGTTCCTTGCATTGAAATCTCAGAAGCATTTCTCTGCGTCGCATCTTGTTATGATATGTTCTTCGCCTACTGATTCGTTTAAATTAGTAAAATGGCTGCTAGCAGAACGAAAACCATCGAAGAAATCGACGATATATCGGAAATGTTTCCAGCGATGGCGGCCCTTGGTGTATCGTGTAAAGGACTAACAACATTGGATGAGATGAAAGCCAAAGTGAAAGAAGAATTAAATCCGTCAGAAGATAAGCCTAGCTGGACGGCAGGACAGGTAAGAATATTTTTAAAATGCTGTTTAGATCTATAAAAAACAAGAAGTGGTGAACTGTGTTTCGCAACAGCAACTGAAACAGTTTAGCAAGCTGTTTTAGACTGGCATCGGCAGCATTGGAAAAATTTGTAATAAAAGGGCTAAAACTGTTTAAAAGGCTTATTTGTATTTTGTATTCGTACCAAGACACATTTGTAAATACGAAACGAATTCTAGTATATAAATATGTTTTTGTATATATTCACCAGTCACGATTAGATCGATAGATTGCAATTCCGGATTTTCTACAGATGTTTCTTACTGGCCATGCAAAGATTTGAGAAGCTAGTGGCTGAAATTTTTCCCTTTTAAAAACCATAAATCCCAAATGACTTTGTTACAAGCATACTGTTGTAGCCTTGCGTTTTTAAAATTCAAACATGGGATAAGCAGTATACCATAGTATACCAAGAAGTAAAACCCCCGGCCGCATTCGAATGTGTTAACTTTACGTGTAACGTCATTACGTTACGTTCGATCACGACGATTCAGAAATATGAATATAGATCATTTTCACTGTCACGCAATAGGAATTTAAATCGAAAACCATTCAGTGGATAAACCCAAGAAATTGTGATGTTATAGGAGATGTATAAAGAAGACAGGTCTCCGAGTTTAAGATCTGTGCGTTTTCCCAAACCTTAAATATTCGTCGAAATGTTTTGAACAAATTTACAGCCCAGTGTGTTCACGTGACGTCA